AGTGAAAGGGAAACCTGACTGGTAATGTAATAACAAAGTCCATGTCCACATCTCGTTTCTGCATGCAATAGAATGTGTTGCTTTTACAGAAGTAACCTCCGGGGTATACGTAGACCTGGTTGAGAACCCCTTGCTGTGGAGTGTGGGGACCCCAGTTACTGTAGCTGGCTTGTTCATGAACTTCCTGATGGAAAGTTCAGAGTCTGTCGTTCAGGAAGATCTCTGGCTCACCTCCCAGCAGTGGATGCCAGACCTGCAGGTTTGTAGCAAGAAGAGCAGATGCTGTGAGCGGGTGACAGGAGCCAGAGAAGACGGAAAATCTGACATAGCTGCAGTGATGGATATTGTAACGTCTTCCAGTATAAACCTTAACAGAGGCTGAAACGTGATTCATCCACCTTTTCTAAAAACAGAACCGTGTACTGAACATGTTAGTTCATTTGGAGCTGGAAGCTCTCCATCATAGTCGTTGCAGTTTACGTTCTCATGAGACAACAGTCGCTATGTTTTCAGATAGGTGATCTCAAGTCTATGGGAAGATCTCATGCCTGCTAGGAAAACTGTTGATGGAACAACTAATAACCAAGTTCATGAGCACAACTTGTGTCTGAATACATGATAGAATATGTAGCTAAAATAGCACCAAGATTAAAAGTAGACCGGATTGAGAACCCCTGTGGAACGTGGGGTTCCCAGTTACTGTGGATTGCTTGTTCATGAACTTCCTAATGGACATTGTAACCTCTTCCAATGTAAACCTTAACAGCGGCTAAAACATGATTCATCCAACTTTTCTAAAACAGAACCGTGTACTGAACATGTTGGATAATTTGAAGCTGGAGGCACATATGGTCTTACATGAGACGTCACTATGTTTTCAGTTGGGGGATCTCAAATCTATGGGAAGCTCTCTTGCCTTGCTGGGGGAAACTGCTAATCAAACAAGTTACAAAAAAAACATGCCCAAATCCTTTATGTCTTTTATGAACAGGAAAGTTTGGCTGATAGGAACTTTCTATGGACCCACTCAGTGTGCATGTGGCCTTAGTTATTTATAAGATTTTACTCCGAAGAGCACGCTGCCTTTACTACCCATATACAAAAGATTCCTCGGTCCTACAAAGTCTTGTAGGAGTGAATGTTTCAAAACACAACTTCCTTTATATTGAAAATTGTGCATAGGCAAAATACATGTACAATTGTGTCAAGGTAACGGCAAAACAGCGCTTCCTCTACAGAAATTTGCATGCTGACTGTGTGTGATCTGGTTAACATGGAACATAGCAGAACATGTCGGCGCCCATGGCAAGGCAAATTTTGGGCGACAAGCTTCATGCAATGCGATTTGGAATGCAACAATCACGGCAAAACCACACCACATTTTAGATGCCATTGAAAATAATGGAACCTGAACCTGCGGTTTGCGATCACAAAGATTCTGCCGTGATCCCAAAATGCCTAGGTGTGGATGGAGCCACCCTGGTTTTCGATTTGTTGAGCCTTGGAATAAGCAGACCGTGCCTGAATTGCAAGGTCTGCTTTAAACTCCAAACTTGCCCACTCCAATTAGGCATTTAGGTTTTGTGAAGATCTGTCAAACCCTGATGTACCTGATGGAAATGGAAAAATGGTGGTCCTCTTAATCACCTCACAGTGCCTCACTGAGCACTGCAATGTTACCCTCAGAATGTCCCTGGACATTATTTTTGTAATAATAGTAGCATAGAACTACCTGTTGCAGGGGCCTCACAAGTGGGTTGGTGGCTCTGAGCCTAAAAGTTCAGCTGATGTACTTCAGTGAATGTAACAAAAGTACTCTTATAAGTTTACATGCACATTTAAAAAACCCTCAGCAGAAATATGCTGCTCCTCCAACGGTGGTGCATAACTCCATGTTTGTTGGATGTGTCCTTCAACAGTCCAACACAAATATTAGTGTTGTCAGGTTTGAGCCAGCTTCCCTGCTTTTACATTGCTTCTTCTCAATGCTGGCCAATGAGTATTCAGAATGTAGACATCCATCCAGCCTTATTATTATATTTTCAGTTAACCAAAATACATTTTGTAACTCATAATGATAGGAATAACAGTTATAGAAATGTTCTTTTTCTTCTAATAGGACCATGCTGGGATCATCCAATTAGAAAAAGAACCCCACAAGTGTTAATTGTGTAGCATATGGCCTGCTGATGTTAAGAACTATAGCAACCCTGAGAAAATACGAATTTACAATCCTAGTGTGAGTAAGCTAATAATAAGACCACTTTGTATAATGTCTAGCTGTTTTAATAGCAAACCTTCATCTTTGTGAGGTATCAACTGACTCTTCTTTTCTGTAAATTTAAATCTAGAGAATTGCCTTGTCTGGATGGTGATGGCAGTACTTTGCACATGAGCTACAGTATGTTCCCCAGCAGGGATATAGACAGAAATGTAAACCCAACAGAATGTTTGCCCCTTGCATGCTTTAGTAGAAAAGTTTTACTTGTTGTATGTCTCTATTGAAGAGGTTTACCCTAACCTTCTGTTCCAGTGACCACCTTTCACCAAGATAGGAAGAGATTGGAGATATTCTCCAAAAGGAACATGCAACATCTGCAACTGGATAGTTTATAATCCATTAGGCAGTTTTTATTGTTATTGTTATTATTGCTGTTTTCTAACTGTGGTAGGTCCCTAGCACTATTGGCAACTGCCACCTACAGGGTTTGGCTGATACCACTGTTGATCTATTCACACTCACTCGTTCCAATTCAGAGGGATGTCTCCATCTGGCCCTAAGTTTCTTTCTGTAGTCTGCCCAAGGCTAACTGCTGGTTGTTCACTGACATCCATCAGCACCACTTCAATGGGCCAACTGTTGACTGTGTGATCGTGTGTTTTTGGATCACCACTGCTCATCTTTTCCAGGAGTATATTCGTAACAAGACCTGTTGAGCAGTGTGCTCACAAGCCCATCTACTGGGCATCTCTTCCTACTTATGCATATAAATTTGTCCATACGGATGTGGCCATCAGTATACTGTGTATGTATCTGCACATGCACCTAACACCAGTAGCATGACTGAACTGCAGGAGGCCTTCTCTAGAAGACAAGAACCCAAGAAGACAAAAGTAGATATTATTGCAAAATATTAAGTTTCATATTCACTGACTATTCTTGCTTTGCATATTCTAGGCATTAGCAATAATTAGAACAATACAGAGAAAACCGTATTTCCCTCTTTCTCTCACTACTGGAGATCGGGCTGCTGGAGACATACTGCAGCTGGCTTGGCCACCAGTAGACATGTCCTTATCTCACCAAATGGTGGGGTGCCAGCCACCTACGCTGTCCAGGGGACAATACAAATGTGTTTTTTTTTTTTTTCACAGTTACTAGGGATGATCGAACAGAGCCTTTGTCAACCAGGTTTCCATCAACTACTAGGGATCCTCATTTGCATGTAATGGTAGCAAACAGGTGCATTATGCCAAGGGGAAGTGAGTGAAGAACAATGGAAACTTTTACATAGAACTATCAGTCACATTTGATTAAAGGAGTCTCAAACAACGGATTTATCAATATACTGTACTGTATTAATCCAGTTTTATTTTGAATTATGTATGTGCCTTTTATGTAAATGCCACATTTATAGAATTACTGTACTTAAAGCAGTTGTAAAGCCTTGAGGTTTTTTACCTTCATGCATGAAGGTAAAAAACCTTCTGTATGCAGCGACGCATCCAACCCCCCTAATATTTACCTGAGCCCCATCTTGATCTAACGATGTGCACAATAGCCTCGGCTGTCCTGAGTCTCTCCTTCCTCATTGGCTGGGACACATCAGAAGCCATCAGCTCCCACTACTGTCAATCACAGCCAGTGAGCCAATGTAGAGAGAGCAGGGGTGGGGCCAAGCTATGCTCCATGTGTGAATGGACATGCAGAGCAAGGCTGCATTTATGCCCCCATAGCAAGGTGCTTGCTCTAAGGGGCACTAGGCAGGAAAGAGGGGCCAGGAACGCCAGCAGGAGACCTGAGAAAGGAAAGATCTGGGCTGCTCTGTGCAAAACCACTACACAGAGCAGGTAAGCATGACATGTTTGTTGTTAAAAAAAAAAAACAAGCCTTTAATTTCACTTTAAAGTGTATATTAAGGCAAAATTAAAAAACATTTTACCACATCTTTGGAATAGATGCACATTTCCACACTGCCTTTCTGAACCAGGGCTCCTTATGAGGGTTCTAGTGGTTCTGTGAGCTGTGTGCAGTGGTGAATTAATCCCTCACCTACACAGATCACCAATGCAAAGGGGGTTTTACATTGAATATGAGTGTAAGAGATCATTTTGACAGTGACCATTAAAGTGTTACTAAACCCACAACAGTAAAATAAGTCTGTAGATGCAGTAAAGCATGCTTGTTTTACTCTCTGTGGAACCTAAGGGGTTAATCCTCTGCATTGTGTAAAATGCCATTTGACCTTGACTTCTCTGATCTTCCCCCTTTTTCCACTGTCCCCCTCTTATCTCCTGATAAGACATTCTGCACATGCTCAGTTTGGTGTGTATTGCTAGAGAGGTTTTTTTTTTTTTTTCTTGGGAGAGTTCATGTGATCAGCACAGGGCCAATCGGCACTGTCCAGACAGAGACATATTTACTAAAATAATTGCATTTCCATGTTGTGTGTACTGCGGGAGACCAGATATAGTGAATGTGGGGTTCTGGGTTTAGTAACACTTTAATATTAGGGGATACCCCCATTTTCACTGTTTTAATTTGTTTTCATCATACAGGTATTCAATTCATTTTAAGATCCTTACTGAAAATAACTTTGTATACAGAAGGTGGTGCTAATTATACAGCAGGTGTATAATCAGTAAAAGTATTTCAAGGCTTTTCCATGGTGAAGAAGTTAGACAGGTGGATCTAACATGACCCTTCTCTGCAGATGATCTACAGGTGTATGTTCACTTTTACTGGGCCCGGGTTTTTCTGCAATATTGATAATCTTTTTATGTTTTTTCTTCTTCAGGCATGCTGCAGAATGGAAAGAAGTTTGATTCATCCAGGGATAGAAACAAGCCTTTCAAGTTCAGGTTAGGACGACAGGAAGTGATCAAAGGATGGGATGATGGAATTGCACAGGTATAAATATATCCTTTATAATTTATGATAAGATGTGACCCTTGAAGTGTATTAAAGTCAACTTGCTGCATATTGGGCCTATTCAAACTGACCATATAATGAAAAAACAAATGCTTAAAGTGTTTGTAAACCTCAGATATGAAATATGAACAAAGCATATCCCTCCATAGTGTGATTTCTGAGTGCTGCTTCATTCATCTGCTATCAGCATGAATCACTTCTGACACACTTTCCTGACACCAAGAGAAAAATGGTGACGGGAGGGATCTCCATCAGATTGACAGCCTCAGCTCTGTTCCTGAGAGCTGTGTGGAGGGGTGTCCCTTGCCTTCCCTTCCCTCTAATCAGCTCTCAGAGCTCTCTCCTCACTGAGCTTTGTAGAGTGTAACTTCAGCTCTCCACCCCTGAACTCTCAGAAACACTTTATAAATTCAGTACTTTGAATGATGTAGAGAAGAGAATACTGCAGATAAACAGGTACCACTTATCTAGGAGGATTTGTTTAATCTCTGTGTATCACCTGAGGCCAGTCTCTTCACTGGGTATGTGTAAGGGTTTACAACCACTTTAAGCAGAGCAGAGATTATATAGAAAACTACATATTAAAATATCCAGAGATTTAGGCAACTGAAGAAATGTTTGTAGTTATTTTTCCTTTAAACGTTGAGTTTGGTCCCATTCTTACATGTTTCCCAAGACTCCCTTATCCTTTAATTTCCAGGCCATTTTTTGTTTTTTAGCAACACTGTGCTCAAATTAATTTTATATACTTTTTTTCAGATGAGTAGAGCCTTCTTTTGGCAGTATTTAATACCCCTTGGCTTATTTATTTGTTTACTATATAACGGGGAAAAAAAACAAATTTTTTTTAAAAATGTGATGATTGGACTGTCTATCACATTTTTGAGGCCTACTAATGCCAGGACAGTAAAAACATCCCCAAAATTGTTTCAGTTTAGGACATAACGTATACAGTGTGGCAGGCAGGGTGCAGGGGTCAGGAATATGTAACGCACAGAACAGCTTGTAGTTTCCAGTTTTCTAAATGTTGGTGGTTAATGGTATGTGCCGCCTTGTTGGCGATCAGTGTTGAGTGCTCTATCACTGTTGGTAGTCATTGGTGTTCCCCTTCCCCAAATCATTTAAAGTCAGTGTGCCCCCTTTATGGTCAATATGCCCCCTGCTTACCTCCTTGTTGCTCAGCAGTGGTCATTAGTTGTTAGTGTTCCCTAATAATGATCAATATGCCATTGTGCACCCCATTGCTGCAGTTTTGGCATTGGATGTAAGGTTTACATTGCTGCGACCCCAAAGTTATAATCGGCTCTTGAATGCTGTGTACTAACCAATAGATTATCGGGGTGATGGCTCCGAATATGTTTTTTCTGGGTGTACTGGGCATTAGAGACTGCACACTGTCCCTGCTGTCCATACATTATATCTAAAACCTGTTTGTCATGAGCAACACTTCCACTCTTCTGTGCCTTTGTTTCACCAGTTAGGCACATAGAGTCTTCTGTCTCTGTATATTGGCATGAATCGCTGATAAAGCATGTACATTCTACCAAGGGGGAGACAGTGAGGAACACTGGAAACATTTGCATAGGATTAGCAGTCAAATTTGATTCCATAGACTCTCAGAGGGATTTTTCAGTAAGCTCCACTGTACTAAGACAATTTCTTATTGATTTTGAATTTGTTTTTTATGTAAATGCCACATTCACTGAATAACAGCAAGTAAAGTGTACGCCAAGGCAACATTAAAGAAAAAAACATATATTTAGTACATTTCTGGAATACATACACATGTTCCCATGTTTTATCTCTGAAAACATGCTGCAAGTGTAGACACATTACTGCTGATATGCCAGAATATAGTATACTCCTTCCTTCCTCATTGACTTTACATCACAGGTATGAATTTCTAAGCATGTGGTGTCAGCCGTGCCTACCTAATTTCTGATGGATTAGCTCCTCCTCCTCTACTCATTTCCATAACTCCCCTTCTTATCTCCAGAATCCTTCCTTATTTCCTCCCCCTCCTCATTTCCATAACCCCCCTTATCTCCTCCTACCTTCTCAACTCCATAACCCCTCCTTATCTCCTCCTCCCTTCTCATATCCATAACTCCTCCTTATCTCCTCTTACGTTCTTATCTGTATAACCCCTCGTTATCTCCTCCTCCCTTCTCATCTCCATAACCCCATCCTTATCTCTTGCCTTCTCATCTGCATAACCCCTCTTTATCTCCTCCTCCCTTCTCATCCCCATAACCCTTCCTTATCTCCTCCTCCCTTCTCATCCTCATAACCCCTCCTTATCTCCTCCTACCTTCTTATCTCCATAACCCCTTCTTATCTCCTCCTTCCTTGTCATCACCATAACCCCTCCTTATCTCCTACCTTCTTATCTCCATAACCCCTCCTTATCTCCTCCTTCCTTCTTTCACCATAATCCCTCCTTATCTCCTCCTACTTTCTTATCTCCATAACCCCTCCTTATCTCCTCCTTCCTTCTCATCACCATAACCTCTCCTTATCTCCTCCTACATTCTCATCTGCATAACCCCTCCTTATCTCCTCCTTCCTTCTCATCACCATAACCCCTCCTTATCTCCTCCTACATTCTTATCTCCATAACCCCTCCTTATTTCCTCCTCTCTTCTCATCACCATAACTCCTCCTTATCTCCTCTTACCTTCTCATCACCATAACCCCTCCTTATCTCTTCCTCCCTTCTCATCATCATAACTCCTCCTTATCTCCTCCTACCTTCTTATCGCCATAACCCCTCCTTATCTCCTCCTCCCATCTCATCGCCATAACCCCTCCTTATTTCTTCCTCCCTTCTCATCGCCATACCCCCTACTTATCTTTTCCTCCATTCTCATCTTCGTAAACCCTGCTTATCTCCTCCTACCTTCTTATCTCCATAACCCCTTCTTATCTCCTCCTCCCTTCTCATCACTATAACCCCTCCTTATTTCTTCCTCCCTTCTCATCTCCATAACCCCTCCTTATCTCCTCCTACCTTCTCATCGCCTTAACCCCTACTTATCTCTTCCTCCATTCTCATCTTCGTAAACCCTTCTTATCTCCTCCTACCTACTTATCTCCATACCCCCCCTCCTTATCTCCTCCTACCTTCTTATCTCCATAACCCCTCCTTATCTCCTCCTCCTTTCTCCTCACTGTAACCCCTACTTATTTCTTCCTCCCTTCTCATCCCCATAACCCCTACTTATCTCTTCCTCCATTCTCATCTTCATAAACCCTCCTTATCTCCTCCTTCCCTCCCTGTATGGCAGACCATAGATGAGTTGAAAACTGAATGTTCTGTCAATCGAAAAATGAAAATGATGCATGTGATTGTGCCATCATTTGTTTCCTTTTTCAAAACAAAATTCAACATGTTGGATGAGGCACTTTTGTTTGCAACACGAAAATCGTGTCGTGCTGCTGGAACACTAATGATGCAAAAAACTAACAACCAAGAATTTTCGTTTGGGTTTTGACTTGTCTTTGGCTTCCTTGTCTCCTCTCATCTCCATAACCCCTCCTTATACAAAGGCAGATAGGTTATCATCTCACAAGATTTCTGACATAATCAGCCTTTATTTTTTCACTTATTGGACAGATAGCATATTTAGCAGACCAAAAATGGAGCAAATAAGAGAAGTTCATTGTTAGGTTTGCATTGATCCTTTGGTGTAGCACATGGCATGGCATTGAAAGGTTTCAGGCAAGCTCACAGGTATACTAAATGGTCCCTGGACTCTCCTGCTCAGAATGGCCAATAAGAAGCACAGAGGACAGATCCTAGGCCCTATCTCTCCAATGACCAATGAACCTGGAAGCATTCTGTCCTCAGCACTTTTGGGTTCACAGCTGTGAGACTGATGCAGGCTGTGGCCAGGATAAAGAGAGTGAGTGCATTCTGCACTTTTTGTCTCCTAAAGCAAAATGGAGGGGAGAAATGAGGATTTTAATATAACCCTGATGTCCTCCATAAAGAGGACCTGTCACCTACATAATGGTATCACATAGGAGGCTGGTAAGCCCTCTAATGATAGTAATATATTCAAGTAAAAAAAAATAAACATGATAAAATCTAGTAATATAATTTAAAAAAATTGTAAAGGTCCTCTCCCTGTGTACACCCAAGCATAAACAAAGCGTACATACTGTACATACACAAACACCAGTTACACCACACATTAGGTATACACACCAGTGTGAGAGGAGTAATTCTATGGGCATAATTTAAGTTAACTTCAATCTAAAGAGCAGTTTGTCACCATTTCAGGGATGCACGAAATTTTGAGATCTGACATATTTTGGTATTTATTTGCTCGACACAAATCATTTTTTTTATTCTACAGGTTCTCTGTTTTCATAAAATAATGTTTTGAGGGTTATAGGTGTTCTTCAGACTCATAATGCATTATTTAGCATGCATGTAAAAAATGAAAGAAAAAAAGGTAAACTAGGTTTGTTTTTAAGATATTTTATTAGCGGTCATGTAACCACTATCAGGCTTTTGTTTCTCTGGGGGGGGGGGGGGGGGGTCTTGTAGTGACGCTTCTTCACTGCTGCGAGAAAGGATGACAGTGACAGCTACTGTCAGTCAGTTGCTAGTCACCGACCCTCTCTGCCCTATGTTTAGCTCAGTAGAGGACAAGGAAAGCACATTGTACGTAACATAATATGGGAGATTTACTAATGCATGCATAGACGGGTCATTTATCGGCCGAATATTTGTCAGAAAGAGAAATCGGCCGATGTTCACACCGTTAGTGGGGCAATGCCGGATCGCGGATCTTCTCATTTCTTTTTATCGGTCATGCTGGAAAATCCACGAAAAACGGCCATTTTTCGTAAGCATTGGTGGCAGCATCCATGGCAGCAACGACCGATTTTTTGTTTATCGGCCGACAATTTGGCCGATAAACGGCCCGTCTATGGCCAGCCTAAAACTGGTGCACATAGAATATAGTGCA